CAAACTCTCTACTACAATATATCCTTCTCAGTGTTTTCTCCTTCCTCTCTCTCACTCAAAGACTGACTAGACCGTCGGAGGGGATACGCCGGAAAACACTCCGGCGCCCTTCTAACCTGTTCTTCTTTGTTCCAGGATCCTCTTTCAGCCTTACTGGATCGTTCTCCCGCTCAACCAGGGTCTCCCATTGCCGTTCCAGGTTACCACCGGACCTCGCAGGCTGTCCCAAGCGGCGTGGTAGGTCACTCAACCGGCTCACTCGAAGTTTACCAAGGGAGAGAGCTGTTCCCGTTTTTTATATTGTGCAGGATCTTGCACGCACAAAAACACTATCAAAAAAAACAAATACTTAAAACAAAATGTACCTCACTCGAGAATTAATGTGTAAAACTAGGGTTTTGATTAGTGGCTATTGGTTGTTTGATAGATGGCATGGTTTGGCAGACCATGGGAAAGAGAAAGGATTACCAGTGACAGTGGTGCATTAACATGACTGTGGTTCTTTGAACGGTGGATTTAAATGGTAATTACACATGCAACGACATTGTATTAGCCTTACCACAGCTTTTCCTATCTATTGCTACAATAATCAATATCCAGTTCATATCACAAAATTTCAAATCAAAAGAAAACAAGTATGCACAAATACATGTTCAATTCTGGTGATCGGAGGTCTCCTACTTGTTAATAGTATAATACTATTTAGCAAAGGTGGATCTCGTTTATGTTTTTGAAGTTTAGATTAAAAAGAAGTTAAGANACAAATTTGACGTAATATGACTTGATTGTTATCCCTAATCTTAGCCATCACAAAAAAAAAATAATCATTTTTATTTTTCATCCATTCAATCAACCAAACACAAATGAAAAAAAATATATCTCTCCTACTTTTTATTTTTAAAAAATAAAAAATATACTTTTATCTCTACTTTCCATCCTATTTTCCATCTTTCCTACTTTCCATCCTCCCTACCAAACAGAGCATTACTCTGTGCAGACTGACGGAACACATAAAACCTTTCACTAACAAGTCATCGTATTTTTTTATAGAATTTCTCGATACTCATGCCAACGTTATCACTTCAAATATTTTTCAGGTGTCATCACCAAATGACAAAATAAAAGCACTATTTCATTACAAGGCAACTGCCCACCTTTCATCCTTTTATCCCCACTGCACCGAACCGTAGGGATAAGCTCTGAATCTTAAAAGATGGAATGCAGGCAGTAGTGGAAATTTTCTGCAGCGGGTGAAAGCCTGACCGAAGAATATTGCGTTTATATAAAAAGTCCAAAGGTCATGAACCACTTTTTTCCAGCGAAGAAACAATGACGGACGGTATTTGAAGAATAAGCATCCACCAATTTTATGCACGCACTAATACAAAAGATGCATGCGTCATCCAATATGATTAGACATAGTGTTTCAACCTCAGTGATCTCTCTATAACCTAAAACATTGCTCTACCTTACCCTTTTGTGTCACAGTGCCAAAATTAATTCATTCATAATTATGAAGCATGACAATTCTATATTTTATTTAAAGGAAAAAGAGAACATAGTAGATTAAAAATGTAAAGGCAGTAAGCTCCACCATAGACCTGCAAAATTATATGGACAACTGCTTCATTATTATTACCTGGTTGATGGAAGGGTCCTCGTAGTATGTGTATAAAAAGATATATAAACAATGTTTCTTACATCATCTTTCCAAGAACTTGCTAAGAACAGTTCTTCTTGAAGAGGTTTCTTCCTCATCCTTCTCTGATTTATCACCCGCACTCAAGGCACAACGTATAACAGAGTTAACCTGTTTCCTCGATTGTGCATTGTCAATAAGAATATTTGTCAACATCCTCCTCAAGTCTTCATCTGCTGTCCTTTCATTGCTACCATTGGCATTGCCACTCACAGCTGCAACAGAATTTTCTACATCTTGTGCAAGGAGCTGTGCCTGTTCAGTGTCATGATCCATACAAAAAGAAGACCGGGACATTAAGATTACATGAATTTTGCATTACAAAGGGTTTCTTTTCACTGATTACAAGAGATGGAAGTATCCTCGGCAATCTAATCAGCAAGTATCTATAATTTGCAGCATCAGAGCAGAGATGTGTCATGGACAGAATTCCTTGTGGGAATGCTCCCGCAATGTCCACATGATTTAAGTTCAAGAAATGATTTAGTTTTTGGGCAACACACATGCACTATAAATTTTTTCGATAAGAACACACATGCACTACTCTTAACTAAATTACTTCCAGACCATATGCAGGTCTACAAGAACACACACGCTCTACCGATTTTTCTCAGTGCAACATGTCAATGCTATTAATCTCTGGATAAAGCTGTACAAACACATCATTTTCATACACTGTTACTACTCATTGGTGTAGCATGCCAATATGGTATGGCATATCAAGAACTTGAACATTGCAAAACATCTATACTAGATACGCCCTACCCTCTACTTTTGTAGACTATTGGTTGGGGCCCCCTTGATTGCGTTTTCTTGTAAAAACAATCCTCCTTTAATTTTATGAAGTGGGACGTGTGAAATATAGTGTGGTAGACTGGTAGGTATAATTGAACTGCCATAACAATGATTAAAACTGTATTAATTGTGTTTGTGTCCATTAGAGTAATGTTATTGAGACCTAAAAATTTGACTTAATCTTCCTTTATGAATCGATTTTCATATTATTGCTCAACGGCTCTTCTATTAGTCTATACTTATTTTCTCATTTGTGACTAGAAAGAGTAACCAAATATAGTTGATTAGTATCATCTCATACCCTGTGGTTCTTTCAGTCTTTCAATTGCAAGTGACTCAATAATTCATTTACGGCATCAATACAAGAGATATATTGACCTGACAATTGATCAATTCACCATCTACTAGTAAATTTTGCACGATCGTTTTATCTTATTGATTATTTCTAGTGTGCCATGTATTAGTAAATTCCGTATTGGTGGAGAGGGGTAAAACAAATATAAATTTTGTGATCGATACTAGAAACAAGTAAATGAGAAGCACCAAATTACAAGTTTCATATTTCAAAATAGACTAATGACCAAGAATTTAAAATAGGGAAAATCAGAGAATAAATTATTCAAACTAAACACAAAGGTATGAAGGATACCTCTGCAACAAGAAGACCAATTCGATTGTCAGCTGTCGTCAATACATCGATTGCGTCAGATGTTGACGAAGTATCCATGACCAATTTATCTTCTTCCTCAATGAGGAAATTAATGCTGCATTCTTCAAGACGGCTGCGAAGAATTTCACATTCATGCAGCAACTTTGCATTAGCAGCATTTGCATCTTCTCTTCTTTGCTTTTCCTTGTGGAGGACTCTCTAATAACACATAAATGGGCAGAATTATCCCCAAGTGAAGGTTATGAGTTAACTCCTGAAGGAGACATACGTATCTAGGAATAATCCAAACTGCTAATACCAACATCAGAACAGCAAATATGACTAGGCAAAAAAAAATCAATAAATTAAACTGTTACTTCATCACCGGAAGTACACGAATTCTATTTTGGGATAAATGGGTATATGAAGAAAAGCAACTTGAGAGCTCTATGAACTTGATCAAAATGATGGAAAGCGAAAGTTGAAAGTTATCATCCATAACTCGGCGCATTAGTATTGACACATAAAATTTGGCGTCCCGAATTGATCCAGCAATTTTTTCCTAAAAATAAAAAACTTGCAAGCATGTAACAACCCTCTGTCTCAAAGGGGTTGAAATTAATCAGACAAAGATGAACATATGTAAAGAGCTACCTCCACTTCTAATTTTTCCTTCGCCAATCTGCTAAGCTCCTGCTTCAATTCTGATTGAGAACTTCGAAGAGATTTGATCTCCTTAACAAGGACTTTGACATCCACTTTTGACTTCAACTCTAACTCGTCATGACGTTTCTGCAACTTCTCAAGCTGCTCCCTTGCATCATCCAACTCTTGGAGCAGTATTTCATTCTCTTGAATGATGGAGACTTTTGTTGACTCCAGGTCAGCCTTTTCATCCTGAAATATCCTCATGCATCAGTCAATATCCTGAAAGAACAAATTTGATAGTATCTTCACATGACAACCAACAAAATTTAGACCTGTTCAGACTTCAACTTCAACTCCAGCTCCATACATTTTCTTCTGAGCTCCTCCGTATCCCACTGCTTTTGTGTAAATCTTTCCCTTTCAATAAGAATCGCTTGCTGCAGGTTTTCTTTGCCACTCTGCTTTGTAGTTTCAAGTTCCACTTCCAAATCTTTGACCTGCAAGAGATAATGCCGATCAGCTGTTAAAAATCCACAATGCCCCACTATAAACAGTCCACAGAGTGGGAATTTGAGCCTCGCTTTGTTCAAGTTGGCACCTGAAAGCGCAATGCCCCAAGATAACTCAGAGATCATGTCGATTTCAACTTGGCAGAAATTTATCATTCTATAATTGCTTTCATTCCTAACACACGTCATGACTGTCCTTATACCCGTCTAAAGTCACCCAAAGACAACAAAAAATAAGACAGTCTTCCTCAAATTACATGAATCCAAATTCCAAAGTATCCCATCCCTCCAGAATCCAGTATTTTCTTATTTCTTTTTTTTTTTCCCATTTGGTTGTGTGTGTGGGTGGGGGGTTTGCTTCACGTCCATAAACCAAACCAAACTAAGCCTTATGTCCCAATCATTTGGGGTCGCTATATGAGTCATTCTTCGTCATTCATTTCGATCACACACTATACGCTCATTTAAGTTAAATATTTTCATATCTTTTCTTATTATTTTGTTCAATATTAATTTAAATCTACCCCTACTTCTAGTACCATTAAGAGATATTATCTCATTTTTTCGAACCGGTGTCTTTATCGGCCTGCGTTGAATATAATCAAACCATCTTAATTTATTTTCTCTTAACTTATCTTCAATTTGAGCTACTCCTACCATTTCTTTAATACGATCATTTCTAGTTTTTTCACATATTCACCTTAGCATTCTCATTTCTGCTGCACTCATTTTGTCACTATGTTGTTTCTTAGTTGCCCAGCATTGCTGTCCTATACAACATTGCTGTCCTTAAAGCTGTTCGATAAAACTTACCTTTCAATTTTAATGGTATCCTCCTATCACATAATGTGTCAGAGGTTTTCCTCCATTTAAGCCAATTGGCGTTGATTTTATGAGCTACATCATCTCCATCATTTTTAATGATCGATCCTAGATATCAAAATTATTTACTCATTGGTATTTCTTGATTTTCAATTTTAACTTTTTCACTACGTCTACTTTTATAACTAAAATTGCATATCATATATTCAGTCTCACTCCAACTTATTTTAAACCCTTTCGACTCGAGTCTCTATCCAAAATTTTAACTTATTGTTAATCCCCCTTCGAGCTTCATCAACTAATACAATATCTTCTGCAAATAATATATATCGCGGGACATTATCTTGAATATGACTAGTGAGTTCATCCATAATTAGGGCGAATAAGTATAAACTTAGGGCTAATCCTTAGTGTAAATGTGTAATCCCACCGTAGTTGACAATTCTTTACTTTCTTTCACGGAAGACCTAATTGTAATCATAGCCCTATCTTATATTTCATTTATCACATTCTCCTCAATATACCTATTCGTTACTCTTTTTTTCTCAAGTACCCTTTATATTATATTTCTAGATATTTTATCATACGTCTTTTTTAGATCTATAAATACCATATGAAGATGTTCTTCTTTTTTCTATACTTTTCTATGAGTGTCCTCAATAAATATATAACCTCCATAGTTGATCTAACCTGCATAAACCCAAACTGATTTTCCGACACAATAGTCTCCACTCTTAGGCGCCTTTCAATGACCATTTTCCATAATTTCATTGTATGACTTATCAATTTTATCATTTTATAATTATTACAATTTTGAATATCTCCTTTATTTTTATAGATAGGTACTAAAATACTCTTTCTTCATTTATCGGGCATTTTTCTAGTAGCAGTAATTCCATTGAATAATTTTGTTGACCACGACACCCCCTCATTCCCTAAGCACTTCCAAACCTCAATTGGAATCTCATCCGGTCCTCAAGCCTTATCTAATTTTATTTTCTTTAATGCAAACTCTACCTCCAAATTCTTTATTCTACGAAAAAAAATCTCATGGATCCTACCATTTTCTATCTCTTATAGGTTTCCTAAGTGATTTTCGTTTAATAGTTTCTCAAAATAATCTTTCTACCGATCATTTTTTTCCTCATCTTTAACTAAGATCTTTGAGTCTTCGCTCTTGATGCACTTAACTTAATTGAAGTCACTTGTTTTTATTTCTCTAATTTTAGCTAGTTTGTAGATGTCTTTTTCTCCCTCTTTACTATCTAGTTTTTAGTACAGCTCGTCGTAGGCTTTTAACTTAGCGTCTCTATCTTTTTAACCTCCTTGTTAGCTAATTTATGTCTTTGGAAGTTCTCTCTATTTCTATCATTTTGTCATCTCTTAAAAGATTTTTTCTTTACTTTAACTACCTCTTGTACGTCACCATTCCACACCAAATTTCTTTTCCCACAAGTCCTCTACCCTTCGACTCCCCAAGAATCTCTCTCAAAATTTTCCTAATGTCTTTCGTCATCCTACTGTACATAACGTTAGTCTCACTCTCTAGGTTCCATAAGGCCTCTTTAAGCATTCTACTCCCAAATAGTACTAGTTTCTCATCTTTTAGATTCCACCATCTCGTTTTTGTTTTTCAAATGCTTGTCCTTACTCTATGTTGCCCTTCAATATATAAATCTAGGATTGTTAGCCTATGTGGAGATTTTAAGCTTTCTATCCAAATCATATTTTTGCTCCCCCTCCATTGCCAACTTGGATATTTTTTTCCATCCAAATATATGCACTCTTTCATAGATTCCATATATTAACCTCCCTTGCTGTTGGTAGCCGAAAATGAATTGAAGATAAAAAAATTCTCCCCAAAATGACTGCCTTTTGCACTCTTTTTGGCATGACCAAACAAGAGCAAGGAAATTGTTAAGATTTGCAATCATTTGTGTTTATCAGCTTACAAAACAGCCATGGGAACCAACAAAAGATATAAACAACACAGGACAGAAAATCAGGCCAAAGTATCAGACGAGCATTTCCCATCCAGGAGTATCACAGTGAATCTAAGCTGAGTACATATGTCCTACAGAGGGCTTAACTTAAAAATAGACAAGTGAATTTGTTTCAATTGGAATTAAAATAACAGTTTCCATACTTACATATGTGAAATTCTGGAACCTGGACATACCTTTGTTGTGAGATATTGTCTCACAGCTAGCTCTTGATTTAATCTTGCTATAAGATCTTCCATATCCGTTTTTCCCGTAGCTAGCCTCCGTTGCATAGTGATAAGAAGCCTATTAATTTTACGATGCTCATCTGATGGAAGAGCAATTACTAAATCACTTGAAAACTGTAAACCTGAGGTGGCAGGTATATCCATGGCTTTTGAATAATCATAACCTTCGGGACGCTCAAATGAGTCATCGCCAAGTGAATCTGCCACCCCCAAGTTTGAAATTTCACTAGCTCTTACAGAACTTATGTCACTTCCAAGACTTTCCATTGACAATCTCCTAAAATGGCTGCCCAATTTGGGAATCTCTGTTTCAGAAAAAGTCTTCGTTTCATCCTCATGGCGAAGTTCAGCTTTAGAAGTAGTCTTATCAACTTTATACCTGTTTATACCACTGTCAACACTTCTGGAGTGTATCTTATGTTGGAAAATACTGTCTTGATTTCTCCGTATAAACCCCTCCATAAGTCGACCAATGGCGCTTTCAGACAAGCTATCCTTAACATCTATTGGACTGACTAACTCTTGGTCAGATGTTGTATTCTCATTGCCAATTTCAGAATAAGTATCCCTCCCATGTCTTGGCGTTCCAAGCTCAGATGTCTCATAAGCAGAATCATTGCCATAATCTGCTGCAAATGATGAAGTCCCAGCAACCAAAGAAACATCTGAGCTTGGTAAAACTTCATATGACAGGACAACACTACTTCCTGGCAAATTTATATCTGAAACGCTCTGATTTGAATCCATATCATAGAATGCTGAAATGTGTTGCAACCAAACTGCCTATTAGTATACCACAGTACTAGCAGAAATATCACAAACATTTTACTTGCACCACAAGACTCAGTCACAAAATGACTCCATATAAAAGGCGAAAGTACAACACGAATTATGAAGGATTGTGAAGAAGCAGGAAAGAGACACATACACGACCTGGCAGCAGCTTCTAGCTCAAGAAAAGTTGCTACAGGAGCACTTCTTGACAAATCAATGTCTGAGAGTAGTTTCTCCATCCAATCCTCCAAAAAACACCTGCGCTGCGATGAAACTAAGCAATTTAAGGACAATCTAAAACTATTTTCTGGGCACATAATAACTAACTTCCTACATTCAGGAAAACAGAATTGCACAAGTTAAGCTCAAAGAGAATACTCCGTAAATATCCATGACCATCACGTCACAAAAATGTATAATCAGTTTAACCAAGTCACCTATGCTTTATTCCCGACGATATTAGGTAGGGACACATATCGATTTTCGCTCAGTTCTATACTAGGTCATCTGAAAAGCCCAGTTCAAGACTACACTAAGAGTAGATGTGTAGGCCGCTGGTCTAATAATACTTCTTACGGATAAGTGTTTCAAGTCATTCGATTAGGGACACTAGCTACCCAGTACCCTGCCATTTTACCTTCAAACATAAGCAACATTGGCACCAACTTATGCATGGCAACTGGCAATAATTTCTGTATACTCAATGTAGAGTATTTTTTGTAGTAAGATCCTCATGTCCTTTAAATGAAGTAAAATGAGAAGGAGTATATGCGTTTTTTCAATTGGTACAAACTTGGGGGAGCCACTGGCTCTCTCTTGCCAGTTCTCTTTTTCTCTCCTCTTCTCTTCTCTGTTTTTGTGTCTCCAACCTCTCGCAATCACTAGAGTTGGAAATCCAGTTGTCCTCTTTCTCCCCTTCTCTCTATTCCCCTTCTCTCTCATACTTAACTTCCATATGTCCTCATGCCTCCTGCTTCTCAGAAAAAAATTTCCTCAGCAGAAGGTTAGATATAATCTTCTTTCATCCTCTTAATTTGCAGAAAATTCAGGAGCAACCCGCATCATATAATACACATATTGTGTCTGATAATTCTCCAAGGGGTTAGGTATAATCCTCCCAAAATATTACAATCCCATGTGGGAGCTCACCTCATATTTTTCTTTAAAATACACTACAAACCATGCCATCAGATACTGAAACTAAGAAACTTTTTTCCCTTTTTGCAGCTCCATTCAAGCTATTAAGACCAATCTTCTCGACCATCTTAAACTTGANTATATATCAGGTACACATTGTTTACAAAAAAAAAATTGATGATTATTGACTATAATGAGGATGTTTTAGTCTAAAAATTCATACAGATGACTAAACATTAGGTTTTCTTATCATAAAATACTGATTTTTGTTTATGAATTGTATATCATTATCACTATATTTGCAATAAATTATATAATGTTATATATAAAATATAATTTTTTTATATCGTGTCCGTGTCTGTGTCCTACTTTTTTGAGAAATGTCGTGTCGGCGTGTCCGTGTCGTGTCGTGTCCATGTCCATGTCCATGCTTCTTAGAATCCAAGAGTTGCTTTAAACTTACATCAGAAGATAGCTTCAAGAAATCATTAAATCTTCGTAGTATTCCTCGGGTACTGGTCACTCCTTCTGGCGATTGAATCCCAATTTGAACCCTGTAGAACTGTTGCATATGAATGTTAACAAGGAAAATAAAACTAAAACACTCTGGTGCATAAGAACCACATACATATAAACAAAAGATTGACTCAATTTCGCACCACACAACCAGGCAAGAGCTCATCATCCCATATTACAAACCAAATTGTCAGTCGGGTAAAATATTGATAGAGTAAAGAGACAAGAGATACCACAAAAGAGTGCCTTTGACCATTCTCTAGATAAGAATAAGGTTCTTCTTCACGTGAGGAAGGGCAAGAAGGGGCTGGGAGAGGGAGCAGGTGATAAATTAGATAAGGAAACAAGAAAAACTGCCTAAGGGTCTGTTCGAGCATTACTTGGCACGACTGGGATGGTCTACTCCCCATTCTCCATCTAAAATTATCTCTGCTTGTAGGATGCCTCCACCCATGTCGAATCAAAATTCTACGAATTCTCTCTTTGAAATCCAGGTCATATGGACTTAGAATGCATTTTTAAAGATTCTAAAGCGAGCACTATTCCTCTTCATCTAGGCCAGCTGGCAGACAATGGTTTTGTGAGCATGGAAAAGTTATAGTGGTTTGCAAGTCATTAGGGAAACTGCCATTATATTATTTCTGACCTTGTCATTACTGGATTAGGTCTGTTCAACTGAACCTATAGTGACTGTATGATAATATATTGGGTAAATTTCATCCACACCCCCTGTAGTTAAGTCTAAATTCAATGATACCCCTTCCAAGTCTGAAATTTCATTGCACCTCCTTCTGGTTTGTTCTGTAGAATTACTAACACCCCCTACTAATAACTTCCATCTCTGACAATAGAAAAAGTTAACGATTTGACTAAATATTCTTTCAAAATGCCAAATTTACCCTCTATTATGTTAATATACTAAAATGCCTTCGGTTGACGCTCTATAAAGTTTAGTTTTTTTTTTTGCCAAGTAGGATGAAATATTTATATCTATTGAAATTATTTTTGACACAAAATAAAATCATTCAACCAAAAATGCATACAAACAAAACAAAATTAAAAAAAAATAATAATTTTAATATTTCACCAAAAAATAAGGTTAATTATAGTCATTTTCAATTGATCCCAATGAATTTTTATCATTTTAAAGCGTTGCATGTTATAAATACCCTCGAGAATATATATAAATATAATATTAGTCATCATATTATCACGCATTGGTTACATAATCGAATTTTTATAATTTTATAGTTAAAATATTTTTTCTACAATAAAAATCACAATCGATAAAGTCAATGTCAAGGTCCCATGCATTTCCAACTCCTCTTCTATTGTATGTCTTCCACAACTTCACCCCACTATTCTTCATAAATCACCTTTCACATATCAAATTTAAATATTATTTGATAAAATTTAATGCTAATTGAATAAATTTGGTCTTAATTTGATAAATTTAAATATTAATTTGATGTTAATTTGATAAAATTAAGCATTAATTTAGTGTTAATTTGATAAAATTTAATATTAATTGTATAAATTTGAATGTTTCTTTCGTGAAATTGAATGTTAATTTGATATTAAATTAAAAAAATGACATTAATTTAATATGGTTAAATGTTAAATTAATGAAATTTAATATTCTATTTAATATAATTAAATTTTAATTTGATAAAATAGAATGTCAATTTGGTGTTAATTTGATAAAATTAAACAGTAATTTAGTGTTAAATTAAAATAATATTAATTTGATGAAATGAAATATTAAATTAATGTAATTGAACGTTAATTTGATAAAATTAATATAAATTTTATGTTGATTTGATGAAATCGAATGTTAATATAGTTTAAATTAAAGAAGAGATATAATTTGATAAAATTTAAATATTAAATTGATGATCCTGAATGTTAATATAATAGAACTACGTACAGTGAAATTTCAAAATCGGAAGGGTGCCCTTGAAGTTAGGCCTTTTATAGGGGTGTGGATGAAATTTACACTATAATATAAAAAGGGGTATTTCTATAAAAACAATGCTCGTCGTTAAAGCTGTAAGCAGACAACAACTGACAAGGAAATTTGCTCAACTGAATCGGGAGGAAGTCTCATTCANATGCTTGTCGTTAAAGCTGTATGCAGACAACAACTGACAAGGGAATTTGCTCAACTGAATCGGGAGAGAGTCTCATTGAATTTAAACCTAACTATAGGGAGTGTGGATTAAATTTACCATAATATATTATACTTTTGTGTTGGGACTCTTGGGTATTGTTTGTTTGTGTTTTCCTTTTCTGTTTGGGTGCATTTTTTGTCAAGCTTGAAGAATTCATCATCCTTATGTTACCTTGTATTCCTCTGTCCTCCTCTCTAATAAAGGATTTTAGTTTCCAGTTCCTTATACAAGTTAAGAAAGGAAAAAATGACACAAATGTGGTCAATTTTAGCTTCTAACTGGCATAAGTTTCCGCAACCTCTACCATTACACGCCGTAACACTTATTATAGATACAGGATATAATAGAGACCAAAACAATTGTCAATGGAACAGTAAAATATGAAGCCAAAGGTGTCACTAAATTAACACAGCAAGACAGATGTTTCAATTGTAGTTGCCTCTGACAACTTACAACCCATGGTACAAGAAATAGTTTATAGAACAGTTAATGGTTAGCAAGAAACAAACCAGACTTACTAATGCAGACACATAAAACATAGATGGACAATGTCATAGTTAAGAACTGCAGAGTAGCTCATTCAACATAGTACACAAAATGCATACCACCACAGGAACTGAATCTCTGGATTTTGGTGTAATAACCCAAGAAGGAATTGTGACACAGTAACTCCATCCTGTATGAAAATCATGTGGCCAGACAGAGCCCCGTCCATCCTACATTGGGAGAAAATGAGATATTTTGATGACGTAAAGAACATCCTGAATGGTGAAACTATAAATTTACACTTTAAACAATACAATAATTTAGCTCACAAAACCGAGAAACTGACAGACCTCACAAAAGTCATACAGCAGACCAATCTAGTTTAACTCAAACAACATGCTAGACGTAAAGTGGTTCCGCAGACAAAAACAATAATAGCATCATACATTGGTTATTATAGTTTTGGAGTAATTACGTTTGCCAAGAGTGAGTTTGAAGTCCTCATTAGGGTTTTAGAGATGCTATAAAGGTGCTACAAAGCTGCCACATGGAAAAAAAAGCCTCAAAGATGTGAATTTTCTGGGTTTTTCTACAGAGCTTGGCTCTCTCTTTCTCTCTTCTTCTCCTTCTTTCTACCCCTTTTTCCCTTCATCCTTATTCTTGTCCATCTGGCTCTAATTCTTCTTACCACAGGTTCCCCATTATGTCCTTAGTATATTATCTATTTTCTCATACCTCTCTCATCTATTCTACCACTTGTTTCTCCCTTGTGGATACGAGACCCCTAGTGGATTCTAGGGTTTTCTTCCATTTCTCCAATCTTTCAAGAGTTATTGCACCTATCCCTCTTCTTCCTCTTCTCCTTTCTATCATCAATTCTTGTTGTATTCCATCAAACAAAGAAGAAAACAACAATACAATCTCCAAAAATTCTGCCCCACTAGTGTGCCAACTAATTGATTGAAACAAGGCTTGTATAGCAGATGTACAATGAAATTTTGTATGGAATCTCAAGTTTCACATCTTTTTATAAATAGTCAGAAAATGTCAATTATTAGATGAAATCAGCTTGGAAGTGTTGTTTATTTATGGATTCCAGCCATTTATTTGAATACCATGTGTTTGATCAAATGTTCAAGAGCCAGGTTACATCAATAATGTTCAAATGCAACCCTTAATCATTAAATCAGAAAAATAGCGGTTTTTATTTTTAGGCCATTTACCTCGCAGATGATTCTGACATTTACCAAATTAATGGCCTATATATGCTAAAAGAACGGAAAAAATTAGAATAGCAAGGGAAATACTTAACTGAGAACGTAAGCATATACAACAGTATTGATCAGGATATATCTGAGATCACAAATTGTTGCCAACTGGGACCAAAGAATGCTTATATAATCCTACTGATTATAATTGGTTTCTGAAAGACTCTCCCAATTGATTTATGTGCAAAGGTGTAGAGTAGACAGTAGATCAAATATCTATGTATTACCCTTTGGATTGAGAGCTATGTTCAATTATCTTGACATTGTTTGGGACTATAGGGCCATCAACATTAAAGTTTGAGGTTGAGAAGACTTCCCTTGTGACTAGAATCAAGAAGAGGAGAGCCCGATTTGGAGGGCACAACATTTTTTGTTGTGGTGCAATTGAGAGGAGAAATACATTCACATAAGAGGGGCTGGGCATCCCAAGCTAAACACTAAAAGAGACCCTTTTCTGGTGTATCTGTTAAGGGAATATCAAGGGTATTAAATGCAAGGTGGGTTATCAGGTTCCCCACCATGCATGAGAAAAAAGATGTGGGGGAAGAAATCTCTTGTTTGTTGCTCCCTATATACTTGGTTCTTGGTACATCAATAAAATCATCAATGATGTAAATCTTGACATTGTTCCTCGAGTTGTTAATGGTTGAAAAAAAAGGGCATAATGACAACTCTGCTAGAAGCCTTTGTTGTCTTCTATAATTATGTGTCTGGCTTTACAAATAAAGAGACAATTGCCCCTCTTAGCGACTGCCTGTATCTCTTCCAATCTATCTAGGTTTAGTTACTTTGCCTCCAAATGCTCTCGAAAACATTACTTAGTCTACTTTTCTTCTTAATCTCCTTCACATTTCCTATTCGCCTTAACACACAATTACTCCTTATTACTTCTTCTCCCTCTTCCCCCAAACTTTCTTCCTTCCTTTCTCATGAATTCACGTCATCATTGTATGGTGCTCCATATCCTGATGGTTGGAACCGTTCTCTGTTCTACCAAAAGGACTCGACTAGGGAGTACCGGAAGATGAATTTGATTATCAATTACAACATCGACCCAAAGACCCATGTATCTACTACTTTCCTACCCCGAGAGCCTGTCTTTTGCATGCTATTAGTATAGGTTTGGAGATTGACTTGCCACGTTTTATATTTGGGGTTATTTGGAAAGCCTTGACTCAGGTAGGATAAGNTTTCCTACCCCGAGAGCCTGTCTTTTGCATGCTATTAGTATAGGTTTGGAGATTGAATTGCCACGTTTTATATTTGGGGTTATTTGGAAAGCCTTTGACTCAGGTAGGATAGGCGATGTAACCACAATATTCATTAATTGTCAGTCCATCTAGCTTAAAACCTTGGAGTTTTTAGTGTAAATGTTAGAACTGCATCTATTCACTTTACGGTGTTTCCAATAAGTAGATGGTAGCATTCCAGCCACTTTATAACTTCAACGATCAAAATACAGCTTTTCAAGGAAGGTATTTTATCATTTTTCATACTACTAGAGTAATTGTTCCCCTTTTGTAACTAATTTTGTCCTCACTGCATGAACTAGTACATTTTTTTGTGAATGAGGTAGGATAATACACTTAACAACAGAGAGGACAAAGGATGTGTAATGCTGTATAAGAAAATATAGATTCCAATTACTTATGTTGGTAACCTCTAAGAGGAAATAAGGATTCCAAATATCTTCTTAATAGATCAAAAGTTTTAGATTCTTACTCTCTCCCTGCGTTGAGCTATTGATGGTGAAAAAAGTATACTAAAAAAAGCATAGAAAGATATAACTATATGAATTGAAGTTGTAAAACTCAAATAACCGACAACAATTAGTCAAAAACTCAGAACACCAGCAACACTACACGAATTAAGTCTTGCAATCAAACAAAAAAATCAAGTGACTGAAATTCGGTTTACCCATTTGCGAGGGGGATGACTCCAATCCATTCCCAATGGAAGAGGAGAAGTGCCATCGTGGCGATGCCTGGGAGGGCTTCTTATCTTCTCTGGAATTGGTGGTCGTGGTGGTTTATGATCAGCACCGATCGTTTCTGTTCTTGAATCTGATGTGATCATCCTCGAAGGTCGATATAGAGATATAGAATCGAGGATTGTGGGATCGGAAAAGCCATAATCAATCAAAGAGAAGTCGTATTCGTAAGGATTCATGGTTTACTGCTTTAACTGAGAACCCAGCTGGTGGGTCTCGTCGGCGTCGGACGCGATTCGTAGGTTCAATTTTCAGCGAGAGATAGAGTTGAAGCTCTTTCGTCTTGGGTCTCAAATCTCGGGTTAGAGTCTGATGACTTCTGATGGGATTGTTTCACTTCCATCTTCGTGCCAACCGGCCAACGTTAAAACAGAGAAGGGGCGAGAAAGTGACCCATTTCAACTTCGAAGTTTGACCCTTGAGAATTGGATTAACCAGGGTAAAAAAGCGTAAATACCATTTCACCCGTGAAAGAAACAAAAATTATCAATTTCTCCACAGAATGATTGATTTTTGGGTTGAAATTGACTTAATTATAGGGACACCCCCTATAATTTTTGAAATATCATTACACACTCTAGTAATTTATCATGAGTTTCATATATTACCCCTACAGTCATTGTCATTATTGATATCTAACAAAATAGTGATGTCATGGAATATATTATAGTGAGCTACCAATTTTACCCTCAAGTTGACTTTTTAATTTTAGTAATCAATTCACATTTAATTTTATTAATTTCATCACACAAGCCCTAATTTTGTTAATTTAACACCAAATTAATATTTACTTTCATCAAATTCATATTCAATTTTATCAAATTAAGATTTTAAAATTTAATTTTGTCAAATTAATATTTAATTTATAATAATTTCAAAACTATAGGTGGTTAAAGAGTAAACAGTAGGATTGAAGTCTTGAAGAGTAATTTAGTAATATCGCATCGCTATTTAGTCTAAGATGTAATCTGACAAGGGGTGATAATGACATTTCAAAAACTGTAAAAAAGTGTTCTTTTAATTAGATCAATGGATCAGTCAAATTTACCCTTAATTTGTTCACATTATCCAAAATAAAAATTTGTAATATAATCTGTCATTTTATTTTTATTTAATCATATGTCTAGTTTATGTTAAATCAACCAATTAATTATATTTCGATCAAAAGAAAAAAAATCAAAAATACAAAAACACATACAAAAAATGAAGAAAATAAATTATGGGTCCCATAGGCAAGAACGGTCTAGATTGTTTTTTAAAAGAGTAATGCAACATATATTTAAAAAATAAATTTAAAAATTAGATTTAATAATTTCAATTATTGAATAAATAATAAAATTAATGATTAAAATTATTAAATCTAATTTTTAAATTCACGTAGTATTACTCTATCTAAAAAGCGTAGGGCGGGCTCGAGGTGACGGAGGCGGTGGAGATTTATTAAGGTCCAGCCATCGATATATATTTATGGACCTCAAGGTCCATATCCAACCTAATTTTACATCGTCGTCCTCCTTATACCTAGTAGGCCAAAAGCTCATAGCCGCTATAACCAGCCCTCGGTCCATAGGGTTCTTTCTCTTTCCTGAGTTCAAGCCCATCTTCTTCATCTTCCTTGCACCTCCAATTTCTATGAAAAAAATAGAAACATAAACCAGAAAAACCCTAAACCCTAGTCACGCGTTGCAGAGTTGTTCTCATCTGCCATTGGAATTCTTCTTGCAAGTAAGATTTTTCGTGTTTATGTAGATAGGGTGTTCCTAGTTTTGATGGATTTATGTCGAGTTGATTTGTAGTTCTGATTGTTAGGAGTAGTTGCTGAAATTGTTCTCCCTCCCCCCCCCCCACCACTTAAACGTAGTTAATAAATACGGGGGTCGTAGGAAAAGACCCTAATTAGTAAATATGCGTATTAAGGTAACCTTAGGGTTATACTGTTTTTGTGGAATTTTTGGGGTGTGTTTACCAGGACTTATGGAAGAAAACGTAGGTGTAGGATTTTGAAGCCATAATTAGGGTTTGATGTTTATATAAGTGAAGGTTTAAGTGGTTTGTACTGTACTAGGTTAGTTTAAGGTAGAATTTCAAATTTTGCTGAAGCATGAGGAAATCTCTACTCTGGAGAACTCTGTGAAAGATTATCCAAACTACTCGGTTTTGTTGTTTTATTGCTTGATTCTGGTGGTACCTTGTGTCAGAAACTGTTGTATTCTGGAAGAACCTTATATATTTTAAAAAAAAAAAATTGGTTGAGGTCTGAAAGGTGGGGGTTTTTTTTGGGGGGTGGGGGAGTTGTGTTTCAAGCCTATTGTTTTTCAGAACTTTTTGCAGATTTGCTGGCTTGNACCTTATATATTTTAAAAAAAAAAAATTGGTTGAGGTCTGAAAGGTGGGGGTTTTTTTTGGGGGGTGGGGGAGTTGTGTTTCAAGCCTATTGTTTTTCAGAACTTTTTGCAGATTTGCTGGCTTGCAAATGCAGTTTGTATAAAGCTTGTGCAGGAGTTTTCTTCTAAGTGGACCTATTAAACTTGTGATTAACATATAGTTTGCTGGCCTGTAGAATTAACGTTTGTGGAACACAACATAGTGAAAAGGGTTAATGTTGTCTTTTGTTATCGTTACACATATGTTCTGCCTTTTGGTATTAGGCTACATACGGGATGGCCCTTTTGGTCCGTGTCGGGCTATTTAATACATGTTACGTTAGTAAAGTGTTCTTATACTGTGAAATAAAGCATAGTACTGGTCCTATTTTCATCTTAAATTGATTGGAACAAATTGTTGCTCTCTCCTGAATTGATTTTCTTTTCTATGGCCAGTTGTTATAAAATGAAATCACTCTTACCTAAAGTACTTTGTAGTTGCCATACGGGAAAAGAAAAGCAGGGAATCAAATCCCCCAGACTCACCACTTAAAATCGTGGTCCCCAATTTTTGCAAGGTTCTTGTATGCAAGGTTTTGTTTGTCATTTTTAGGGATCCATTGAAAGTTTTTGCAGGGTTTGGATGACTTAGGAAGCCCTGCTCCTGAATTTTGCCATTAATATTGATTCATGTGTCTTGTACATCATGTTATAAAGTTCTTTTTATCAATTCAAGGAACCAGATACATTTATGAAATGACCATTTCATATGTTATCACCTAAGTTGTTAAAGTCACGTATCAAGCAAATAGTAATATACTAATATTTGTGTCAGTGATCTCTATTTCTATTATTATCTCGCATTCCGTAATCAACATTATAATTTTTATGGATTTATCAATTGAAAACCAATTTGATGAAGTTATTTTATCTTCAACATTCATATTTTTCCTCATAGTGGATCTACATCACGAGGTTAGATGAGGCATTGTAGAGTATTGGAGAATTTATCAACTTGAAAATATAGTTAGACCAAGTGATTGCCATCTTTATAGTACCTGATCAAGTGGGGACAATTTGCTTTGCTTATGGTACTTCATACCCTTGTTAAATCTTAGTGATGATCTGTTATTGTTTAGTGGGTTATATCCTGACCATAATGGATTCAGTCTCCATAGTTTTGTAAAGTGGTGCCTCTATGTTTTTCTTTAATCCATTATCACCAATTTTTATATTTGCTTTAATGGCTAGGATAATGCAAAAATTCATTCTGAATGTTGTTTAGATAAATAAATATTTTGTGGATCATTTGATTGGAGGCATTCATTTGTTTTTTTTCTTTCTTTTTGATAGATAAAAATAAAACATTGGGGTCATTCATGACATAATTTAACTTGGCATATGAGACGCCAACCATCTTGGGAGCATAAGCCTGTGATATGCCTTAAGGAGTAGGTGTGGCATGCTTATTAGGATGTGCCAAGGATCTCAGTGAACCTAAACTAGGTGGTTTAGCAGCCTTGGAGACTGGTTACATTTAAAATGTTTATGTAATTTTGATATTATGATTATTTGTGTTTGAATTATGAAATTCTGCGTAGAAACAAATATTATGCTTATGATTGTGCATCCGAATATGAAATTACTGTTAGTCAAAATTGGACTGCTTTGGTTGGTCAAATTAGTGGCCAAATCCTAAAAGAGATGACAAAAACGAAGGATCATTATTGTTCAAAAAATAAGAAATATGTAATTAGTGCGCAGAGCGTAAAATTCTAAGTGAAAACATCAAACTTAACGTCTAACCTTCCCGCATTTGACGACAAAATAATGTTTAACACCTGCTCCTTTCATAGAGATTTTTCCTTCTGTGATCACCAGGGATTACTCATGTATCAAGGAATTGTAAAGTTTGACAATCTTTTGAGGGACAAGAGCTGATTAATTGACAAGGAACCGACAGAAAGAATTACGGACTCTTGGATATTTTATTGCATTGTATTGTATTTTTTATATATTTATGAAGACTTTAACTGCAAATGTACTCTGTTCTCATGATTTTTCCTTCTCCTAATGCAGGGCTCTTCGCATAGATGGCTACCCTTACTGATAATAATGAGGCACCAAGTCCGGATTCCCTGCCTAACAAGCGCAGAAGAAAGAAATCCATTGTTTGGGATTACTTCACAATTGAAACTGTTGATGCTGACTGTACCAGGGCCTTCTGTAACCAGTGCAAAAAATCATTTGCTTACATTACTGGTTCAAAGTTAGCAGGCACCAGCCACCTCAAACGGCACATTGCCTTGGGGATCTGCCCAGTAAGCCGCCGTAACCAGCAGGAGAAGGATCGACGAAATATATACACCCCTGTCATTTTAAAAACTAATGGTTCTGCTACAGATCCACCAAGAAAACTTTACAGAACACCTACTGGTTCAACAAACATATTCTTTGATAAGGATTGTTGTAGCCGTGAGATTGCCAAGATGATCATTCTACATGAATATCCACTTTACATAGTGGAGCAACCTGGCTTTATTGCTCTTGTACGAACACTCCAGCCTCAGTATAATATGGTGAGCATCAATACTATCGAAGAAGATTGTGTGAGTTTGTACCTGAGAGAGAAGCAAAGCCTTTTTAACCTTCTTGTTGGAATTCCTGGACGTGTTAGCCTTACTTTGGACTTGTGGACCTCGGATAAAAGCCTAGGCTATGTAATTCTAACAGGACACTTCATCGATATCAATTGGAAATTGCACCGGAGGATCCTTAATGTTATCATGTTGCCATTTCCTGAGTCAGAAGCTGCCTTCAGTTATGCTGTTGTTGCTTGCCTAACTGATTGGAGTTTGGAGAGCAAGCTATTTACTCTCACTCTTGATCAATCCTTGGCAAATGAAAATGTGAAAGGGAATCTCAGAGGTTTACTATCAATCAAGAATCCGCTTGTTCTAAATGGTCAGCTAATACTTGGGACCTGCTTTGCCCGGGTTTTGAGGGATCTTGCACAAGATGCTTTAGAATCAGTTAGGGAAACCATTAAGAAAATCCGTGAAAGTGTTACATATATTAAGACATCGGAAGCTCACGAAGAAAAATTTATTGAACTGAAGCAACAACTTCAAGTGCCCAGTACTAAGGGCCTAGTCATTGATGACCAAAGAAAATGGAATACCACTTATCATATGCTTGTGGCTGCTTCTGAATTGAAGGAAGTATTTTCTTGCTTTGATACTTCTGATCCAGATTACAAAGAGACACCATCAATGGATGAGTGGAAAGAGGTGGAAACTCTCTGCATTTACTTGAAACTTTTATTTGATGCAGCCAACATTTTAGTTGCCCCAACATACCCTACTGCCAATATATTCTTTCATGAAGTGTGGAAAATTCAGCTTGAGCTGACGCATGCTGCCACGAGCCAGGATCCCTTTATTAGCAGTCTGATCAAACCATTGCAGGAAAGGTTTGATAAATATTGGAAGGATTGCAACCTTATTTTGGCAATTGCTGTTGTTATGGATCCAAGGTTTAAAATGAAGCTTGTGGAGTTCAGCTTTTCCAGGATTTATGGTGAGGATGCTGAGACCTGGATCAAGGTCGTTAACGAGGGTGTTCATGAACTCTTTCTTGAATATATCGTCCTATCACTTCCTCCACCAACTTTCGTTGATGTGATAAACGAAGGTATTACCCCAGGAAATGAAGGTTTTATAAAAACAGAGATACCTCAGGAAGAAAGCCTTCTTTCAAATGGTGATGGACTTTCCGATTTTGATGTTTATATCTCTGAGATCATGGGTAACCAGCAGATGAGATCAGAGTTGGATCAGTATCTTGAAGAATCTCTTTTGCCTCGAGTACAAGACTTTGATGTTCTGAATTGGTGGAAACTGAACAGACAAAAATATCCAACTCTCTCTAAAATGGCATCTGATATTCTGTGTGTTCCAGTCTCCACTGTTGCTCCTGATTCGGTGTTCGACATTGTAAGTAAGAAGGTGGATAGCTATCGGAGTTCATTAAGACCTGTGACCCTCGAGGCCATTATATGTGCGAAGGATTGGCTCCAGGACAGACATTCACATTTTTCGTCGGAACCAACCACAATTGTTAAAATGGAATCTTAGCTTTCTGGTTCTTATATAGGTTTTTTCATGGAATTCTTGAAAAAAAAAGTTACTTTAGCTTTCAGATAAAAATATTCATTTTGCAGGTCTCTTCTTACTTTTCATGCTTTACTGGTCAGAAATTGATTAAATTTACCTTCTGAAATTATGCTTCTATGCCTTTTCTATGTGGAAGTAATGATCATCTGCAATTAAGAGGGCACACAGACAGGCAGGACCTAAATATTATTTCCCCTTTTTAACAAATTCCTCGGTTTGTGCTTCCCATTGAAACCTGTTTTCCCAGGTTTGAGTCTGAGTCGGAGAGTTTCAAGGGGTTCATGGAGTCAACAAAGACAGATTTTTGTTTCCTTTCCCTTTTGTCTTCTGGGTCTTGTCTGTATATATCACTTCATTTGATCTTAGCTACTAAGGAAGTGTACCAAATGTTCGTATGGCTTCCTTCTATGTCGTACACTTGGTTAGGGAATTGAGAAGTTGTTGCTTGCTGCATGTTGTCTACTTCGCATGCCTTGGTTGCTTCGTTTTGTAACTTCCCTTCTGTCTATCCACGAGGTAGTGAAAAGACGGAAGGGGGCGGGTATCTACTGGGAGTCTTTTCAGTTGAATGCCTGAGATCCCTTTGGACAAGGTGACAAATGAATCCTCGCTTTTGGTCACAGGCAGCCCTCTCTCACATGGTGCATTTCAATTTTGCAAGGGCATGTGCACACACAATCTTTGGCCGCTTGGTTCCCCTCACTAAACCCCTTGGAAGTGTCTTTGTGTTTTAGATTCAACAGCATGTGATATTTGTACAGTTCCTGTATGTGATGTCTTTGGATATTAGATAAATATGGTGCTGGCTGGCAAAATGGATTTCTCTGCTCAGAAGATATGGGGAAACTCCACAAGAAGACAGGCTTAGAAACCTTAATGCCATCAATATTTGGTATTATCAAGATCATTGAAAGTCTTGGCATGAGTTTAAAAATGAAGATCATGTAGCTCCTCTGATCACCTGTCCCTCTCTTTCGTCCTTTTAGAAGAACCTCACCAAAAAAGCTTGAAATGTTTTGAGGAAGTCCTCATCTATGATTTCTATTACATGCCTCTCAACTCATCTTAAAACCCACTTTCTATACTTACCCTTGATTTTCTCCAACAATGCTTCTTCACCTGTCAAGAAGAAAATGATCACGTCTTCTTTGTCTCCAACCCACCTCTCTAGACTCACCCATCTTCACTTCTCCCCGGAAACCAACCCACTACTCGCACTTTTCAAAAACTGTAAATCCATGGACCATCTTAAAGGAATCCACTCACAAGCAATTCAAAAAGGGCTCCTTTGCCCCATCGTGAATGCTAAAATCGTGGCCTTCTGTTGTACTAACGAATCAGGCGATATGAACTACGCCCGTCTTGTGTTTGACAGAATTCCTGAACCGAATGTTTTCATGTGGAATACAATCATCAAGGGCTATTCTAGGATAGACTGCCCTGAAACCGCGGTGTCTCGGTACACAGAGATGTTAAAAAAAAATGTAAAGCCTGACAATTACACATTCCCATTTTTGCTCAAGGGATTTACGAGCAATACTGCATTAGAGTGCGGAAAAGCAATACATGCTCATATATATAAGCTTGGGTTTGATTCTAATGAGTTTGTTCAGCATGCATTGATACATATGCATTGTTTGTGTGGGCGGATTGATATAGCTCGTGGGGTTTTTGATACGAGTTCAAAAGTTGATGTGATCATGTGGAATACAATGATATCTGGGTACAACAGAAGTAAGCAATTTGAAGAATCAAGGAGACTTTTTGATGCAATGGAGGAGAAGAGAATAATGCCCACTTCAGTTACTCTCGTGTCGGTGCTGTCGGCCTGCTCAGAATTGAAAGATCTAGATGCTGGAAAGCGAATTCATCAGTATGTTAAAGATTGCATGGTTGAGCCCAATGTGATATTGGAAAATGCTTTACTAGATATGTATTCAGCTTGTGGGGAGATGGATGTTGCCCTTGGCGTTTTTGACAGTATGAAGAAAAGAGATGTGATATCATGGACTACTATTGTAACAGGATTTGTGAACTTTGGACAGGTTGACCTAGCTCGACAATATTTTGATCAAATGCCTAAGAGGGACTCTGTTGCATGGACGGCAATGATTGATGGGTACCTCCGACAGAATCAATTCAAAGAGGTTTTAATGCTTTTCCGTCAAATGCAAAATGCAAAGATAAAACCTAATGAGTTCACCATGGTTAGCATTCTTACTGCTTGTGCACATTTGGGGGCACTTGGATTAGGGGAATGGATTAAAGCATACATTGACAAGAACAAGGTGAAAAACGACATTTGTTTGGGCAATGCTTTAATAAACATGTATTTTAAATGTGGAAGTGTAGAAAATGCGTTAGGGTTATTTGAAAAAATGCCTCGGAAGGACAAATTCACATGGACTGCCATGATTGTTGGTCTTGCCATTAATGGAAATGGAAAAGAAGCTCTTGATATGTTCTCTCAGATGCTGAGAGCTTCAGTAACTCCTGATGACGTAACTTATATTGGTGTTCTATGTGCATGTACTCACGCTGGTATGGTAGATGCAGGAAGAATGTTCTTTGCCAGCATGATCACTCTGCATGGAATTGAGCCCAATGTAGAGCATTATGGGTGCTTGGTTGATCTTCTTGGTAGAGCCGGGCGTCTGACAGAAGCTTATGAGGTTATAAAGAATATGCCTATGAGCCCAAATTCAGTTGTATGGAGAGCTCTGCTTGGTGCTTGTAGAGTACATAAAGATGTACAAATGGCCGAGATGGCTGCCACACAACTTCTTCGCTTAGAGCCTCAAAATGGGGCTGTTTATGTTCTCTTATGTAATATATTTGCAGCTTGCAAGAGATGGGAAAATTTACGGGAAGTAAGAAAAATAATGATGGAAAGGCGAATCAAGAAAACCCCAGGTTGTAGTATGATAGAGATGAATGGTATAGTTCATGAATTCGTAGCTGGGGATCAATCTCATCTTCAATCTCAAGAAATCTACTCAAAGTTGGAAACAATGACACAGGATTTGAAATTTGCAGGGTTTTCACCTGAGGTGTTCCTTGATGTAGGAGAAGAGGAAAAAGAGAATGCAGTTAACCAGCATGTTGAGAAGTTGGCTATTGCCTTTGGGCTGATCAGTTCGGAAGTTGGCTATTGCCTTTGGGTTGATCAGTTCAGGACCTGGAGTAACGATTAGAATAGTGAAGAATCATCGGATGTGTGTAGATTGTCACAATGTAGCTAAGTTAATATCAAGAGTTTATGACAGAGAAGTGACTGTAAGAGATTGAACTAGATTTCACCATTTCAGGGACGGATCATGCTCTTGTAAAGATTATTGGTGAGAATTCAAACAGGGGAATCTAGATAATATTGCAGAAAGGCACTAATTAGTTACACTTTTCTACATGGTCTTGAGACCTATCTGTCTCTATAGGCGATACTCTTTATCTTCTCATAAGCAATGCAGGTCACCATATTCTTCAACATATCCAGGCAGTTTGTTCTTTGCAGTGCCACTGAGATGCTTAACTGCGTGATCTCTCATGGAAAATGCATGTCTTGTTGCTTACTTGCTTGTTGATCTACAAACCTTGAAATGAAAGTCTGATCATACGACTCACAGCAAACTTGTTTATACACTGGCATCCGATGACATTCTTTAGCATCATGTGTGGCGCTTTCTGTGAAGCTCCGATGTTCATCTTTAGCTTGCAGCAGCATTTTTTTTTGCTACTGCCTTATGACTACTGTTTCTTGCACTTGCAATTTGAAAACAACTGTCACCATGAAAAAATCCAAAACATGGTTCAAAATATTGACTGTGGAATAGCATACACATTCTGTTACCAACAAACACGGGAAATAAGACCTAAACTGTCCAGATCATCAAATTTATCCTGTACAAATTGTGGTCTCACTAAGTTCTACACTATCAAAATGCACTTTAAAATCTAAACAACAAACACTTTGATCATAATTTTACAATCTGATGATCGACAATGGGAAGATGTAACCCGGGAAAAGAGAGAGAAAGAGAGAGATGGGGATAAAAGTTCAAAACAGTAAGACAAATGCAATTAAGGACAACGCTGCTTGTACAAATTTCAACACACAGCTATCACAATGTGAACTCTACTGCTAAGAAAGGATCAAAAGGACCAATTTGGTTTTTTTTTTTTTTTTTGTTGAACTGACCAACATGCTCACAAGCCAAAAACTTAGCTCAAATGGTCACGAAATGTAATCTGGTCTTTAACTGGAACCAGGGTCAAGTACTGGAAGCTGGCAATGTAGACTGATTGACTTATCTGTTTGACGTGTGCCAGGAATAAAGAACTGGAATATCACAGTCAAGCAAGCACCCTGTGGAGCAATCCCGTAGAAAGCACAATCTGGCTTCGCCAAATGACATTGGAGACTATTAAAGAAATGCTTCACGCTCACTTGCACAGTCATTGCATTTCCGCTTTGAATTGCCCTTTGAGTTCGAGTCTGAGCACTTAAATTTCTATCCTCAACTGGAATCTCCGCCTGCTCTCCTAAAACCAACAACTTGCGGAACTCAGCGCCAAGTGTGATCAAAGTAGTTGAAATTTGTAAATGCAGGTCCCCAAATTTGCTTATAGAAACATTAATTAGATCTCCAACATGCTTCATTCGATTGACAAAGTTTTGTAATTTACTCATATCCGAAACTTGAACAAGCGTCTGAGGCAATTCTTGAGCCATATCAAGGGCCGCTTGAAGTTCAAGGACATCAGATCTAGACAAAGGTTTAGATATAGGGACATCCTGAATGATGGCAGATTTGTAACCCTTGGTCTCAAATGTGAGAAATGGTGTTGGTTGCTGTGAATGAGGAGGAAGTTTCTTTACCAGCTTAATTTGGAGGCGGCTGGAGGTGGGAGCGCCAGCACCATCACTGTGGCCGCCACTGAACTCACTGTATATGGTGATGATGCTACGAAGTGCACGGTGGAGAAGGGATAGGTCAATAGCAAAAGCAATGCGGTCATCATTTTGGCTGGAGATGCGATAATCATCAAAAAGGGCCTCTTTGCGGAACTGTGCAATGGACTGGATTCCATCACCATTGAGGAGGTTGTGGAGGAAGAATGCATGGTCTCGAGTCAAGTAGATGTGGCATATTTTTCCCATTTTGTCTAGGGCTGGTAAAAACCTCTTCTCTAAAAGCATCGCACCATTGTCCGTGAGAAATGCCTTGAACTTCATCTTTTTGCAGTCAAGGTTGNAGATGTGGCATATTTTTCCCATTTTGTCTAAGGCTGGTAAAAACCTCTTCTCTAAAAGCATCGCACCATTGTCCGTGAGAAATGCCTTGAACTTCATCTTTTTGCAGTCAAGGTTGATTGGAATTTGGAATTACAAATGGAATCCCTTGAAATTTTATTGAAATCAAGAACAAGTACTTGCTTCTCTTGTAATTCCGTGATATTCTTGGAGAAACTTAGAACANTGATTGGAATTTGGAATTACAAATGGAATCCCTTGAAATTTTATTGAAATCAAGAATAAGTACTTGCTTCTCTTGTAATTCCGTGATATTCTTGGAGAAACTTAGAACATCAGATACTCTCTGCATCAGAAGCTATAAACAATAAACAATAACATAGACTAATGAAGTAGAGCTGTACGGGAGGGATGAGTAGCAACCAATGGTAGACCAATTTATGAGATACTAGTACGAATNAAGTACTTGCTTCTCTTGTAATTCCGTGATATTCTTGGAGAAACTTAGAACATCAGATACTCTCTGCATCAGAAGCTATAAACAATAAACAATAACATAGACTAATGAAGTAGAGCTGTACGGGAGGGATGAGTAGCAACCAATGGTAGACCAATTTATGAAATACTAGTACGAATTTCATAAACAATGAACCCAAAACTAGCTTTTTGCAAGAGTATTCTTTCGGATTGGCACGAAAATATTCTAAGACCAAGAATCAATTATGGGGTCTCTTGCTCATATGTGAATTACTTAATAGAAGGACCAACACCTCAACAAAATTGTACATCTTATTGACCATAAACAAATGGATTTGAGAACTGATACACTTCTAAACTATACATCACATGACAGGAAGAAGCATTATGTAGCAAAACTTCACATAATTACAGAATTTTTAACAGTGACTAGCTTTGGTAATAATAAAAGATGCAATAACTGAATTAAAATTAGACAAGTGCTAGATTCATGACCAGTGATCTCTATCAAGGAATCAGAAGACAAAACAAGTCCCTTTTATGGTTTAATCTCCATATTCCACACATCCAAACAGTAAACTAGGGCTAACGGTTCCATTTCATACAGTGACAATTTCGGTAGAGCATACTATAGCTCATCTTATATAGTGTTCAAAGTCGTAATAAGCTTATTTTTACTCTCTCTCTCTCTCTGACCTGTTGATCTCAAAGGTTAGGNGCACCATCACTGTGGCTGCCACTGAACTCACTGTATATGGTGATGATGCTACGAAGTGCACGGTGGAGAAGGGATAGGTCAATAGCAAAAGCAATGCGGTCATCATTTTGGCTGGAGATGCGATAATCATCAAAAAGGGCCTCTTTGCGGAACTGTGCAATGGACTGGATTCCATCACCATTGAGGAGGTTGTGGAGGAAGAATGCATGGTCTCGAGTCAAGTAGATGTGGCATATTTTTCCCATTTTGTCTAGGGCTGGTAAAAACCTCTTCTCTAAAAGCATCGCACCATTGTCCGTGAGAAATGCCTTGAACTTCATCTTTTTGCAGTCAAGGTTGATTGGAATTTGGAATTACAAATGGAATCCCTTGAAATTTTATTGAAATCAAGAACAAGTACTTGCTTCTCTTGTAATTCCGTGATATTCTTGGAGAAACTTAGAACATCAGATACTCTCTGCATCAGAAGCTATAAACAATAAACAATAACATAGACTAATGAAGTAGAGCTGTACGGGAGGGATGAGTAGCAACCAATGGTAGACCAATTTATGAAATACTAGTACGAATTTCATAAACAATGAACCCAAAACTAGCTTTTTGCAAGAGTATTCTTTCGGATTGGCACGAAAATATTCTAAGACCAAGAATCAATTATGGGGTCTCTTGCTCATATGTGAATTACTTAATAGAAGGACCAACACCTCAACAAAATTGTACATCTTATTGACCATAAACAAATGGATTTGAGAACTGATACACTTCTAAACTATACATCACATGACAGGAAGAAGCATTATGTAGCAAAACTTCACATAATTACAGAATTTTTAACAGTGACTAGCTTTGGTAATAATAAAAGATGCAATAACTGAATTAAAATTAGACAAGTGCTAGATTCATGACCAGTGATCTCTATCAAGGAATCAGAAGACAAAACAAGTCCCTTTTATGGTTTAATCTCCATATTCCACACATCCAAACAGTAAACTAGGGCTAACGGTTCCATTTCATACAGTGACAATTTCGGTAGAGCATACTATAGCTCAAGAATATATCACAAGTTTCAGCATTATTCGAATAAAAATGAGAGAGAGAGAGAGACCTGTTGATCTCAAAGGTTAGGGTTGCACATTGTCGACTGCCTTATACAGATTCGCTGGGAGAGAGAGAGAGAGAGAGAGAGAGAGAGAGAGAATGAGCGAGGGACGCGGGGAGGGAGGGAAAGAAGTAAAACGCCGAATTTCCTAAAATAACCCTGGTTTCAATTTTCAATTGAAGCAAATAATTATTGAAAAAATAAAATACCGAATAAGTCTTGTTTTTCGTAGAAAAAAAAAACCATTGATTCCTAGGAAATTTTTATCAGGAAAATTAAATATTATTTTTGATAATTTATTTTAAATTACATCTTATTTTTGATAATAAAAAATATATTTTTATTCTAATTTTACCTTTTATCATTAAACTATCAGTTACACTTTTGTTCATAATTTCTTCATCACTTCATTTTTGTTTATAATTTAATGATAAATTTAATTTTATATGATACTTTACAACTTATATAATTTTAATTTTTTTTGGTTAAACTTGTACAATAAATTATATTTTTTAAAAAAATTATTTTATTTTTAAATAATTTTTGGATATCAAGCCGTGTTAGTAATTTATATGTCGTGTTATATTTAATGAGTTTTGATACAATGTCATTTTCGTAATTAAAAATTAATGGACAAAAGGAAAATGATAATAGAAATAAGACTTTTTGAAAATTTGTTGAAAAAATAGGACTTTTCATATTAAAAAATTGATATGACTCAACAATTTTTGTACCAAAAAGTAGGACTTTTTGGTAATGTTTCCACAATTATGTGAGAGATAGTGACGTAATGGATCTTTGAGCTCAAAAATCAATCTCATAAAAATATTTAAAATCTTATTATTATTTATTTCTCCCAAATCTGGTTAGTCCCACTAAAATATTGTACACTACATGTACTTTTTGTACTTGTTTTTGAATCTCTTACCCCACCCTCTCTATGATAAATTTTTGTTAAGTATTTTGCATGAAAAACTTAAATTGAATAAAAAAAATAAGTTAAAATATATTAATATACTATTGGTGGGTTTACCACCTAGAAGTTCAAACTTTTAGGTGGGTATGAGTTTTAGACGTGTATATTAAGTTTTGAATTACTAGACTCCCTAATCTCCAAAAAATAATATTAAAATTGATAATTTATGATCTTGAGTGAACTCCCGAACAAGCAGTATAGCTTGCTAGTATTGATAGTGACTTTTAAGAAAATGGATGAGTTCTTGCATTGAAACGCAACTCATGAAAATAGTATGGTGTGGGAGTGGGCGTAAGAACTTTAGGGAGTGGTAATGCAATGACTATAAAGAATGGTAAAAATTTAATTCTTCAAAGGGCAGACACATATAGAGAGTGGTTGGACAAGGTGCTTTTAGAGAATGGTGGAGCAAACTCAAGAGAGAGTTTAAGTCGGTGTGGTTTACACATGAGAGGAGAGATTATTGGGTATTGTATGTGTAAGAATTCTACTTTAAAAAGAAAAATAAGTTAAAATATTTTAATATTGTTGATGGACTCACCACCTATAAACTTAAATTTTTATGTACGTATAAATTTATATTAAGATATAAATCGGTGAGCGACCTAATTTCTCAAATAATTTCAAACCCAAATACTTGTTGATAGTTTCTCCTTTACAACTATGCCCGATCATTGATTAAGTGGCCTAAAGTTTTCTAATTTCAGAATAATTTTGAACTCTCATGGTAGAGAAAAACCTTCCTCATCAAATATTTAAAGTTTTGGGTTAATTGTAAATTGTACTCTGAAAGATCATCTGAATCTCAATTTGCACCCTCAAATATATAAATTTATATCAATATACACCTCCAAAGATAAAAAAAATTCAATTTACACTCTCAAAAATAAAAATTTGTATTAATGTGCACTTAAAACTAAATTGATAAATTATACCTAAATCACTTTATACTGGTCATTTAATCATTTGAACATCTTCACATTTAGAATATTACTTCTACATCTCATGACATTTGTGCACGTGTAACACGTAACCCCTTTTCGTTGATATCTGTTAATATATCCGTTAAAAAATATGATTTTATCCTAATAAAAAAATTATTATTTCATATTACTTTTTATTTTATGGGTCCAATATACTCTAAAATTCAAAATTAAACTAACCATTTAAATGTTTAATAGAATAAAGGGTTGCACATTGAGTGATATATTACATTGGATATAAAAAATATTATATAAAATCTATATTTTTTTGGACATTCAAATGATAAGCTTGATTTTGAACTTTAGAGTATATTGGACCCACAAAATAAAGGGTAATATGAATTATAATTTTTTATTAGGATAAAATTATATTTTTTAACGGTTATATTAACATACATCAACGAAAAAGGGTTACGTGTTACACGTACACAAACGCCATGAAATGTGGGAATAATATTTTAAACGTAAAGGGGTTCAAATGATTAAGTGACTAGTATGAGGAGATCTAGATATAATTTATCAATTTAGATTTAAATGCACATTGATACAAATTTCTATTTTTTGGAGTGTAAATTAAGATTTTTTATCTTTGGAGGTGCACATTGATATAAATTTTTATCTTTGAGAGTGTAAATTGAGATTTTTTTATTTTTGGGGGGTGCACATTGATACAAATTTATATCTTTGAAGGTGTAAATTAAAATTTTTAATCTTTGAGAGTGTAAATTAAGATTTAGACTATCTTTCGGGGTGTAACTTACAATTAACCCTAAAATTTTCGCAAAAGGGAAAAAAATTTCAATCCAACAAGCCAATTTATCATCAAAGCCTCAAGAAAACGAAACAATTTCAAGTCAAAAACTATTGCAATATATTTTTCTTCAATTTCCTTCAAATCAAGTCTTCCTTCATGTTCTTCTCTTATGCGCTCCTCTAGATTTTTCACTAGTTCATTCGAAGTGGTAAACAATGGCCAAACAAAAACGAATGAAAATATTCCCAAAAAGTGGATGAGCCAATTTACCATCAGAGACAAAGAAGAAAACAAAAGAATTTCAGAATGAAATTGATTCTAATACGTTTTTCTTCAATTTCATTCAATGATAACTTGTCCAGAATATACGGTTATAGTGGTTCCCAAAAAATTTATTTTTTGTTCAACAGTCGAGAGTGTCCGAATTATTTTACGTGCACCTCGACTAATCTACTCCCTAGTCCAATTAAAGGCAAACTATCCACATCATGACTAGGTTATTTCATAAAAAATAAATCTCTTATAACCTAATTTCTAGAGATTGTCAAGATTTAAACTTAAGACGTCTCAATTTACAGTTCGTCTCTGTTATCACTTGAACTATCCTTCGAGTTACATGCATTAATCATGGGTCATCTACACTTGAGTAAAATTAAANGGATGAGTTCTTGCATTGAAACGCAACTCATGAAAATAGTATGGTGTGGGAGTGGGCGTAAGAACTTTAGGGAGTGGTAATGCAATGACTATAAAGAATGGTAAAAATTTAATTCTTCAAAGGGCAGACACATATAGAGAGTGGTTGGACAAGGTGCTTTTAGAGAATGGTGGAGCAAACTCAAGAGAGAGTTTAAGTCGGTGTGGTTTACACATGAGAGGAGAGATTATTGGGTATTGTATGTGTAAGAATTCTACTTTAAAAAGAAAAATAAGTTAAAATATTTTAATATTGTTGATGGACTCACCACCTATAAACTTAAATTTTTATGTACGTATAAATTTATATTAAGATATAAATCGGTGAGCGACCTAATTTCTCAAATAATTTCAAACCCAAATACTTGTTGATAGTTTCTCCTTTACAACTATGCCCGATCATTGATTAAGTGGCCTAAAGTTTTCTAATTTCAGAATAATTTTGAACTCTCATGGTAGAGAAAAACCTTCCTCATCAAATATTTAAAGTTTTGGGTTAATTGTAAATTGTACTCTGAAAGATCATCTGAATCTCAATTTGCACCCTCAAATATATAAATTTATATCAATATACACCTCCAAAGATAAAAAAAATTCAATTTACACTCTCAAAAATAAAAATTTGTATTAATGTGCACTTAAAACTAAATTGATAAATTATACCTAAATCACTTTATACTGGTCATTTAATCATTTGAACATCTTCACATTTAGAATATTACTTCTACATCTCATGACATTTGTGCACGTGTAACACGTAACCCCTTTTCGTTGATATCTGTTAATATATCCGTTAAAAAATATGATTTTATCCTAATAAAAAAATTATTATTTCATATTACTTTTTATTTTATGGGTCCAATATACTCTAAAATTCAAAATTAAACTAACCATTTAAATGTTTAATAGAATAAAGGGTTGCACATTGAGTGATATATTACATTGGATATAAAAAATATTATATAAAATCTATATTTTTTTGGACATTCAAATGATAAGCTTGATTTTGAACTTTAGAGTATATTGGACCCACAAAATAAAGGGTAATATGAATTATAATTTTTTATTAGGATAAAATTATATTTTTTAACGGTTATATTAACATACATCAACGAAAAAGGGTTACGTGTTACACGTACACAAACGCCATGAAATGTGGGAATAATATTTTAAACGTAAAGGGGTTCAAATGATTAAGTGACTAGTATGAGGAGATCTAGATATAATTTATCAATTTAGATTTAAATGCACATTGATACAAATTTCTATTTT